ATTTTGATATTTTCGGTGTACTGGCTGTCAACTCTTACCTTGGCAGTTTGATTATAATATAAATTAGATATAATTTTCAGCGACTGTCAATATTTTTGCTTTTTAATATATCTACAAGCTTTTTATGTTGAACTTTTTATGTTGAACTTTATCAAATGCCTTTTCAAAGTCTAAAAAAAAAAAAAAAAAAAAAAAAAAACCTTTAAAACACCTTTATAAAAGGTATATATTTAAAAACCTCAACGGGCTTATTATACAAAACGTTTTCGGAATCCATATTCCATCATCAGTGTCTAGGAGTACATGAATGTAGCCACTAAATACATGGGTAAAAACCCGTTAACAAATAATTAGAGCCATTTGGTTTTCAGTATATCTTATAATATGTTAAGATGTTAAAGTTACCGTTGGATAAGATAACATGGCGAAATATGACTCCTCGTTGAAGTTGCTAGTCCTGAGACGGTGTGTCTACGAGGACTGTATGGAAGCAACTATGGAGCTTAACATATTATAAGAAATACTGTAAACCAAATGTAACTAATTATTTGTTAATGGGTTTTTACCCATATATTTAGTGGTTACATTCATGTACTCCTAGACACTGATGATGGAATATGGATTCCGAAAACGTTTTGTATAATTAGCCCGTTGGGGTTTTTAAATATATTATACCTTTTATAAAGGTTTTTTAATAAAAAAATTTTAATTAAGTTTTGTGAAAGAAACGTGATTGTTAGGCTCATATTAAATAGTAAATATTAACTTTTAACACATGAGACTTATATACAAGATCTAAGGCAGACCAAACTCTCGAAATTCAACAAAAAATGTATTTTAGCCAGAAATGGATTTATGCAGTTTTGTAAAAAACTGTTCGGAACTTAAGGATTCATTAAACCTAGATCGATCGAGTTTAAGAAATTCGCGACATTAATTTTGACGCATCTTACTTAGTATTAATGATTTCTTTTTCCGAAAGAAATTTCCACCGTGTACATAAGTTTTCAGTATAATTAAGTACCATCCGGTGTACTCACTAATCAGCAAAAACACGTTTTATAAGCTTTTAGAAGAAATATAATTCTGTAGAAGAAACACCAAAAAAATCTAATAGGGTAGATCGAACCAATATTCTACGGGTAATTTGAAAAAGTAAATTCTTTATATTTCATAGATATTCATTACGTTATAAAAATTTGGCTACATGTATAGAACCCCTATGTTCCCAGATAGATCCTAGTTGCTTTGTTCTAAAAATACTCTTTTACTCTTATGAGATTCAGATAAATAAATCAAAATCATAAAACATGCTTGTCTATAACTGCTCCATAGTTGCTTCCATACAGTCCTCGTAGACACACCGTCTCAGGACTAGCAACTTCAACGAGGAGTCATATTTCGCCATGTTATCTTATCCAACGGTAACTTTAACATCTTAACATATTATAAGAAATACTGTAAACCAAATGTAACTAATTATTTGTTAATGGGTTTTTACCCATATATTTAGTGGTTACATTCATGTACTCCTAGACACTGATGATGGAATATGGATTCCGAAAACGTTTTGTATAATTAGCCCGTTGGGGTTTTTAAATATATTATACCTTTTATAAAGGTTTTTTAATAAAAAAATTTTAATTAAGTTTTGTGAAAGAAACGTGATTGTTAGGCTCATATTAAATAGTAAATATTAACTTTTAACACATGAGACTTATATACAAGATCTAAGGCAGACCAAACTCTCGAAATTCAACAAAAAATATATTTTAGCCAGAAATGGATTTATGCAGTTTTGTAAAAAACTGTTCGGAACTTAAGGATTCAATAAACCTAGATCGATCGAGTTTAAGAAATTCGCGACATTAATTTTGACGCATCTTACTTAGTATTAATGATTTCTTTTTCCGAAAGAAATTTCCACCGTGTACATAAGTTTTCAGTATAATTAAGTACCATCCGGTGTACTCACTAATCAGCAAAAACACGTTTTATAAGCTTTTAGAAGAAATATAATTCTGTAGAAGAAACACCAAAAAAATCTAATAGGGTAGATCGAACCAATATTCTACGGGTAATTTGAAAAAGTAAATTCTTTATATTTCATAGATATTCATTACGTTATAAAAATTTGGCTACATGTATAGAACCCCTATGTTCCCAGATAGATCCTAGTTGCTTTGTTCTAAAAATACTCTTTTACTCTTATGAGATTCAGATAAATAAATCAAAATCATAAAACATGCTTGTCTATAACTGTGGGTTAACTGCTGCCGATGTACCTGAAACAGCTCTGTGGAAATCTGTTTAATTACCAGGTCAAAAATATCTCTCCTAAACGAAAATTAGACTTTCTTAGAAGCGCAGATATATTGTACCTAACATAATCATCATTCAGCCCATACTCGTCCACTGCTGAACATAGACCTCCTGTATTTCACCCCACAAATTTCTGTCCTGAGCCGCCTGCATCCAATTTTGATGTGTCCGTTTCAGGTCATCCGTCCATCTTGTTGGTGGTCGTCCTCTATTCCTAAAGGCATCTTGTCTGGGTCTCCACTCAAGAATGCGTTTTGCTCATCTGCCGTCCTTCGTTCTCGCGACGTGCCCTGCCCAGTTCCATTTTAAGGTTGATATTCTTTTGATTGCGTCGGTTACCCCCGATCTACGGCGCAATTCTGTGTTGGGTATTCGGTCTCTCAGGGTTAATCCCAACATGGACCGTTCCATTGCCCTCTGTGTTGTTCGAATTTTGTTTGCGGACGTCTTAGTAAGTGTTAGCGTCTCCGCACCATAGGTTAGAACCGGCAGCACACATTGATCGAAGACTTTTCTCTTCAAGCAGATGGGAAGAGCTGATTGGAAAACATCTCTTAGCTTTCCATAAGCTGCCCATGTCAACCATATTCTACGTATTAGTTCATTGGTCTGGTTATCTCTACTTAAGCGAATTTCGTGTCCCAGATATTTGTAGGCTGATGTTTGTTCTATACTTGTTCCAGCTATGTTGATGTTCTCACTCAGAACAAGGTTTGTCATCACTTGTGTTTTTGAGTTATTGATCTTTAAACCCACTTGTGTAGAGGCATGGTAGAGTCTTTCGCACATTTCGATGGCATGATCTATGCGGTCTGTTATCAGGACTATATCGTCCGCGAACCTGAGGTGACTAAGCTGCTCTCCATTTATGTTTATGCCCTTTTCGTCTAGGTTTGCACGCTTACACATGTATTCCAATAATGTTGTAAACAGTTTGGTGAAATGGTGTCGCCCTGGCGAACTCCACGATGAATGTTGAACTTGTGTGTATCTTCATGGAGTCTGACGCATGCCGTGGCATTATCATAGATATTTTTGATGACAGTGGTGTAGCGGTAATCTATTCGGCACTCTTTTAAAGCTTCTAGCATTTTCTGGTGGTTTACTGTATCGAATGCTTTCTCATAATCCACAAATATTAGGAAGAGGAAAAATCTACAAATATACAATGGTGTAGTAGATGCGATAGAGAACGGTTAAGGGAGTGTAGGCAAAGATTTTTTACCAAACCCTCATCGGGTTGGAGTCTTTGATTGTTAGGAATTCCGCACTACTATCCACGTGGATAGAATGCTGCCCTATCAAGAAATTCCTCCCTTGCTATAAAAAGAACTTTTTTAATAAAAAGAATTAAAAATGTAACTATAACTTCTGATCTACTTAAAATTAAAACCTGGTCTGACTCTAATATACTCTCTTTTAACGTGGATAAGATAGTAGCATATGTCCCTCTAAAGGAGCTCTTCAACCCTTGCTTCTTAATAACAGCCAGATCAGTATTGTTGATTCTGGAAACTTTCTTGGTATTTTTATAGACAACAATCTAAAATGGTCCCTTCATATAGATTTGTTAAGAAACTAGTCTCAGCTTACTATGCAATAAGGTCTGTTTCGAAGGAAATCAATTTATCATCTTCCAAAATAATGTTTTTCTTTGTTCGAGTCTCATCTTCGATATGGACTTCCTTTTTGGAGTTATAGTACAGCTGCCCAATATGATGTTATTTTTAAATTGCAAAAAAATAATACGGTATCTTTTTGGCCTCAGTAGAATAACACATTGCAGAAGCTACTTCAAAAATCACGAGATTTTAACTCTTCTTTTTTTATATATTTTAGAAACTGTTTTCTTATTTCGTAAACACCTACATGTTTTTCCAGCAAGACCTAATCATGGCTACTCCACCAGAAAGTCAACCTTTGATGTGTATTTACCGATCCCATCCACTGAGTTAGTAAAGAAATGTATACTATATTCGGCTAAAAGAATTATACCACAATCTTCCTTCGCAAGTTAAATATACAACTTCTTTCTTTAAGTTATGTAAATTGACAAATCCTTTCTAAAAGACCATATTATTCAGTGGAAGAGTTTCTTAACAAATAACTAAGAAGTTACAGTACGTTTAGGTACAAGCAACTAATGTATTTTTTTTATATACATTTGGGTATCACATGCAGCAACTTTAACTAATTATTTCATAAGGTTTTTGTTATGTAATTTGCAATTTAGTTAAATTTTGCAATGGATTGTATATTTTATTATCTTTTATTTTGTGATATTGACGATTTATGTAATTTTAGTAAATTTTAAATTGTTATTGCTATTTTTTTGACTTTTTGTAAGCTTTCTCCATAAAATTGTACAATTTTTAAGTGACAATAAAGCATATTCCTATACTAATATATTGTGTTTTTCTTTCATAAAAAATAAGAGATAATTTACAGATTTATGAAACAATATTTTATTGGTTAATATTTTGTATCTGGAACTGTCTCAGACGACTCATATACTTTCTGTAATTTTAAATAATGGCGGTAAACGAAAGTTTATAATACAAGAGACTGTATAGATAATATTGTGATAATCTTAAAAAATATTGTAAATAGTAACAGCGTACTACACTTTCATTTACATTTACACTCATAACACATACATTTTTTTTAAATACACTTACCACTAAAGAATGGACAGCACCTATCCTAGTACAAGCTAACATGGTAACTACGGCTTCTAATATCATGGGCATATACACAGCTACTCTATCCCCTTTCTGAATTCCTTTACTTTTAAGTACATTTGCGAATCTACATACTTCTTCCAATAATTTCTTGTAGGTTAATCTGCTGTAATCGTCAGGATGGTTTCCTTCCCTGGAACAAAACCAAAACTTTAGATAAAAAATCGACAAAGACAACACACAGTATGTTTAACAATATAGGATAATAAATATATCCATAAATAAGGATATAACAAATAATTAACAACTTTGTAACACCATGTTCGTTGTACGTGTTTCCATTATTGCCTAATACCTTTCTATCTTTATAGCAATTGTTTTTTGTTTCATTTAAAATATTTCCGGTTTATTTCGACTATTTTTTTTTAGAACATAGAGGATTTCATGAAATATTGTGTTGGTATTTGCAGTGTAAAATTTTGAAAGTGCATTTAGGTATATATTCTTTTTTTTTTACTTTTTTCACGAGCACGCTGACAGGAGCAAGCTTGAAAATTCAGTACAATTAAAAACAGAGAAGCATACTTTAAAGATCTTTGTAACATACGTGAGGTTGAAAGTACAAGAAGATATGAAATACCAAGCAGTGCTAACATTAATAAAATAAGTTAAAGAAAACAGTAAAAAAAAAGAAAGGAACTTAGACATAGCAAATAAGATACTTAACTAAGGTTGCCACTAACGATTTAGGGACTAACTACGTAATAATCGCAAAGATAACACACAATTTAGAGTCAACAGTATCTATTTAATACTGATAAGATAAAAAAGAATCTGGACGTGTCCACGGCTGCTTATAGGTCTCCCTGAGCTCTTTTCATCTGTCCCATTACATATATTTATTTTTAATTATATTATCTATACTATAGATAATTAGACATGGCATAATGTATATTTATAAATTTATTTCCACAAAGCATACCAGCAAGAAAAATGTATACCACTAATTAAACTAAAAAGTTATATAAACAAACTTATTTGCACATTCAAATTCAATTTTTAACCACTCGTAAAATCAGATATAACATTAATTACTATATCAGATAAAATATTCGCTACAATTTGAAAGGCGGATATTTGCCGGCTATCGATTAAAACACATTGTTAGGCATGTATAATTCTGCCATAACCCTGAACTTCCTTAGTAACAAAAGATATTGATCTTTTAGACTTGCTCTTGAACTTTCTTTTACACAACAGGATCAGATAAATAAGTACTAAAAGGATATTTTGATAGGTTATTACAACTGTAGTATCATATACACAATTAGACAAATATATAAGAAACTTCCACTAATACATGTCAAATTGTCAAATACGGTAATAGTTGGTTTTCATAAAACATATGCTTTTGTGTCTATCTGTCAGTCATAAACAGTTTTATTTTCTTTTTATCTCCTGTCCTACTTCAATAATTGATATCCACTTCGGTGCTACTTAGTCAAAAGTACAAATAAACAACAAAGTCGTAAAAAATAATGTTAAACCATTTATAACTCAAGAACGATTTACTGATTTGAATGATATTTGGTTTTTTGGATCCGTCTCAGCCGCGAATAACAGAATAATCATTAAAATATCGTAGTTTTCGAAAAAAAAATCTTGATCTGAAAGGTATTTTTCGAGTGTATCAGATCTACTGTTACGTTGATCATATCAAATATTACTATATTCATAACATCATAGTGATAAGTATCCCCGCCTGTTACGTGGGAGACCATACTTCGATTCCTCGCTGAGAAAAAGCTTTTTCTTTTTATTAAATTCATTACCCTTTCGTCCTTTAGTATTTTAAATTTATAGCTGATTAAACAATCAATTAAGTTCAAATAAAATAAGTAAAAAGTTTATATCTTCCACATCATCATCATCATGTTCGCTTTACAACCCTGTGTGGGTCCTAGCCTCCCCAAGAATTTTTTTCCAGTCGTCCCTATCCATCTTCCTCCGCCAAGCACGTATTCCCATATTTTTGATATCTTGATTTATGTTATTTAGGAATCTTGTTCTGGGTCTACCTCTTCTTCTTTGACCAATAGGTCTATCAAGGAGCGTTTTTCTAGCTGGGTCGGTTTGCTCCATCCGCATTACATGGTCTACCCACCTCAGACCTCCTATCCTAATGTTTTTTACGATATCTGGTTCCTAGTATATTCTATAGAGTACAAAGTTGTATCGTCTTCTCCAGACACCTAACATGTTTTCATTGCTTTTTGTTAAAATCCAGATTTTTGAACCATATGTTAGGACAGGGCGTATTATTGTTTTGTAGAGTTTTACTTTTGTATTTCTTGATATAACTGTAGATTTCAAAAGGAGATTAAGCCCAAAATAAAATCTATTAGCCGTGCATATTCTGCAGTTTATCTCTACGGTCATTTACAATATTGACGAGCGTTCCCAGGTATACAAATTCGTTAACTGATTTGATGACGTCGTTTTCTATAACAACTGGCCGTAGTATTTGTGGTTGCGTACCTATTTTTATGTATTTCGTTTTATTGGTATTTATTAGTAAACCCATTTTGGTAGCCGCTTCCTTTAGTGCTACGTACGCCTCTCGTGCTGCGTTTTTCGTTCTCCCAATAATATTAATATCATCAGTATATGCTAGGATTTGCACAGATTTGTTATATATTGAAGCTAGAAGGTAGTTGTGATTTGTGACGTACGTATTACTTTTTCCAGAGCTAGATTGAATAGTATACAGGAGAGTGGGTCTCCCTGACGTAACCCGTTATTTGTTTTAAAAGGTTCAGAGAGTTTCCCCTGGATTCGTACTCTGCATTCAACTTTTTCAGGGGTTAGTTTGGTTAGACTTACCAACTGATTTGGTACTCCTAAGTCTATCATTGCAGAGTCGTAGGCTGCCTTGTAGTCTATAAATATGTGGTGCGTGTCTACACCGTATTTCAGTGTTTTCTCTAGAATTTGTCTCAGGGTTGAAATCTGATGAATTTTTGATTTACCACCTCTGAAACCAGCCAAGTATTATTCTATTATTCGCTCTGCATATGATGCAATATGATGGCATAGTATATTGGAGAATATTTTATACGCTGCATTTAGGAGCGTAATTCTTCGACGGTTAATGTATTCAAAGATATCTCCCTTTTGTGTATGGTGCAAACTGCAAAGTATTCCAATATTATAATTACTGGGAAGGGACTTCTGGATCCATATTTCTTTTATAAGCTGCTGTAGCGCTGTTATGATATCGTGACCACCTTCTTTATATAATTCCGCTAAAAGATTATCTATTCTGGATGATTTGTTTCTGGCTATTTTATTTACAGCGTCTTTAACTTCCAGGATCGTTGGTGGATCCTCCTCCCTCTCGTCTGCTCCGCTTACCTTACAGCTTTCGTCTTTCGGGTTTTTTTCTTTTTCCTCTATATTAAGTATCTGGTTAAAATATTCCGTCCATCGATTTAGTACGTCTGTTCTTGTTGTTAATAGATCACCATTCAAACTTCTACATTGATTTGTGTTTGCCTTGAATTTTCTTCTGTTGATGTTAACTTTCTTATAGAATGTTCTGAATTCTTTCTCTCTGTTCAGGTTTTCTATATATTAAAATTCCTTTTTTAAGTGGTTTGGTTTCTTCATTCTGCGTATGTTTTCTTCTCTTCTCTTTGCCTGGTAATTCTCTATACTTGTTCTAGTTCGGCGGGTAAGCATTTTTGCTTCATTTTTTTTTCTGTGTTGCGTCTTTGGATTAGTCGTCAAACCAGTGATTTTTTCGGGCACAAGTTTATGTTCCTCTTGTGCTGCTGACTCAATATCTTCCTTTATTCTGTTCCAGTAGGAGTCTATATCTTCCACACATAAATCATATTTAACATAGCCTGTAATTTTCCGCTACATATTTTGTGTTTCTATTTTGAGATCTATAATATGTATTGATATGTATACAATATGTATTGATATGATTTATGACTTTATCGTATTAGTTACACCATTTATAAGTCAAGTACGGCTGTACTGATTTTCATAATTAAAAAAAATTAGAAAAAAATTAAAGATTAAACAGATACGCATGAATATTGTTATTATCTATAGATATAAAAAATTGCAGTTAATTATTTAGAATCTATTTTTTTTTGTTTATGAAATAGAATTGTTAATATTGTATTATAAAAACTTTAATACTAAACTTTAAGAATACATCTTTCCGGTCTTGAATAATTTCTCAACAGTTTGCAATTTCCATCTTTGATGTATCCTCTTGGATAGCAGTAGTTGGTCGTTCCATCTTATTTTTGGTCTTTCGCTAATCTGTTTATTACTGAATTCAGTTTGTTATCTTCCTAATTAGTGAATCTTCTTCTCTTCTTTCATGTTAATTACTATTTAACTGGGAATAAGCCATAATTAAAGATAAAAATACGTTTATTGACGTAAATTTACTGTTTGTATTTTGAGAACGATTTCCGAAGTGGAAATTGAAACGTCAATAAACGTATTTTTATCTTTAATTGTGGCTTATTCCCAGTTAAATAGTAATTAATTTAAAATGCCACAAGAAAATAGCTTCAGAACTTCTTTCATGTGTCCAAACAATCTCAGTCTTTGTCTCGTTTAAACACTATTTGTAATGATTTAATTATGAAAAATTAACTCACTTTTCCCAACTCATGGTGTGAAATAACCGAGCGCAAATTATTCACGTTCCGTTTGTCTCAGTAGCGTAGGATCTCTCCATATTTAGGAAACTTGCTCAGGAATAAAATATCAATGATGCCACGAGTAGATATTGCAAACATCCAGCAATCCAGTTGGATCCAACGTTTTTTTGTATGCTGGATTCAGCAAATTATGCTGGATCTAGCAGCGCTGATCCGCAAACGTGTCAAATTCGAAAAAAGTTACTTCATGTCTTCATTAGCCTCTTTATTTAAATCCGTAAGTCAGCAACTTGCCATTATATCGCGCTAGCAGGTACGACGTGCCACAAGTGCGATTGAACTGCAGCATCGTGTCGCCCTCTTTCTCTCTCGACTGCACCACCTACGCCTACCGATTGACTCAGACCTCTTTTATTTATCTAGTTTTTAGTTGACTCTCTTCTCTCGTCAGTAAAAGTGTTTTCACGCCTAATAAGTGCCTCTCTCAATCTAGTGTATTGTACAA